ACCAGGCGAGAGATTCATGCAGACCGCGCTGACTCTCATTCGCGCGCCCAGCCGAGGGCGCCTGGCCCTGCGGTCCGCCGGCGGTGCCGTCAACCCTCGAGAACTCGAGACCGTCCCGCAAAGTTGGCGACGAGTAGGGCCCCGCTCCGTCGTTGCACATGTACTGGATGACGATTTCGCACTCTACGTTGCCCTGTTTGCTGCCGCATCCGTGCTGATTGGTCCACTCCAACTCGAGGACGCTGCCCTCGTAGAAGTACATCTGACCCTGCGCGGCTCCGGGCAGGCTGCGATTGTACTCGGTGCTGCCCGGGTTGAGGCCGCCGGCGCCTTGGCAAACGGGGTCACATCTGTCGCCGACCTGATAGCCGCCGGCGTTGTTGTTCTGCGAGTCGAAGAGACGGTTGTTGTTCTGGACGTTGTTGTTCTGCTCGTTGAGCTTGTTGTTGGAGCCTCGCGGGTTGTGGAGGTAGACGTCTCCGAGCAGCAGCGCCGCGGAGAGGGCGAGCATCATGGCACGTCTCCGAGCAGCAGCGCCGCCCCCGGAGAAGGAGAGCTTGCAGCGGTTGGCCTCGGTCTGGCCGAATGGAGGTGCCATTTAGGTGTTTTACCGTAAAGCTCCCTCGCACAACACTGGGCACGGGACTGGCGCGCACTGGCACTAACACAGGTACACCACTGGAGCCGCCTAAGCGACTCCTGCGAAAAAAGAAATGCTGCTGGGCTTTCAGAGAAGTAGCGGCGTGGGATGCCCTAGCACTTTGAGCGTTTATCGCCCGGCGCCTCCCACTCCACTGCCCGCCTCCGTTGGCCACTCCTACGCCTTCGGCAACACCGAGGAGAAGGCCCGCCGCCTGAACATGGGCTGCAAGGCGCGCGGGCAGCCCAGCCAACCCTTCTCCCACAAGACCGGCCACGGCTACGTCAAGGCGCATCGCGGTTTCTACCACGACGCGATCTTTGTCAAGCGCAACAACTTCAACCTGCTGCTCCACGAGACGTTCGGCGGCGGCTTCTCGCCCACCGCCGTTCTCAAGCTGCGCCGCCTCGCGCGCAAAGTCGCGCGCGGCAGCGTTGACCGCACGGCCTACTCGCCCAAGTACTCGCTCTCTTTTATGTCCCACCATGCAGAGCGCATCTCTCTCTCTGTTGTGCGAGGCGTGAACCGCGCCATTCGCTCTCACCTGGCAACCCTGTCTGCACGTCTCGCGTGCGCGTGAACAGGGCTCCAGGCCCCAAATTACGTGTGAGTGTTAGAGTTGTTTGGTATTGCTAAAAATCTCTCTCTCCACTGCTCGTCAAAGGATTGAACTGAGAAAGAAGAAAATACACGCGCTGGCGCTGCGCGCTGGTCTATGAGAGGTTGAGGTGCGAGCCCTGCAGGCCCTGGGGATGGGGGGGGGGGGAGACTAACCGCAGCCCTCCCACTTTCCTAGGCCTCCCAGGCCCGCGAGTTCATCAGACCGAGGACGGCGGCTGTGTCGAGAGAGGTGATGTTCCTGCTCTCCATTCTGCTGTGTCTCACCTTTCCACACGAGGACCACGGGAGAAAAAAAAACAAAAATCACCGGCGCGAGGACAACGGGACCGCGGCCACAGTGCCGTTCTCCGCCGCAGCAGCGCCCATGGTGGTGCCGACGGTGGAGGCAACCTCGACGGCAGACTCGAGCGGAGCGGCCAGGGCCACTGTGACCGAGCCCGCCGCCAGCGCGCTCTCCACCGCTGGCGCGCTCACTGTGCCACCGGAAGCCTCAGCCTCCGATTCGCCGACGATCGGGGCGGCCGCAATCGCCGTCGTCGCCTCGCCCGCCTCCGGCTCTAATGTCGCCATCCCTGTCGCCGTCTCCGCTGCCACGCCCGCCGCTCCTACCCGAGCCATTGTGTCGATCAGTGCGGACCCTCCGGCGGACTCCCCGTCCCAGTGCATCAGCACCGTGCTCCGCTTCTTCGACAAGCTCGACACCGACGGCGATAGCAAGCTCTCCCGTGAAGAGCTCGTCGCGGCGGTCGGACACGCGGCGCCGGCGCCAGGCAACGAGGCGGTGCCAATCACAGTGGCGGCGGCGGCG